CTTCTTCTCCCTCCTCTCTCTCTCTATATATATATATGTCTGTTTGCGTGCTGGTTGCGAATTTGGGGAGACGAGGTGGATCGTCGCTGACTGCGGTGGATACGTTGTACTTGCACGCACCCACACATGTACCCTCCCCTCCTGCATCCCCATTTGCTCGCACGGCTTCAGTTCTACAACGCGGCGGAGTGATATACGAAAAGAAAAGGAAAAATATTTTGCTTGCTATGTTGCGGTAAGGTTGCATTTTTCGTACGAATGCGGGCAAGGTTGCTTCTGGCGTTTTTTTTGTATTTGTGTGTGTTTATGTGTTTCCTGCATACTTGTGAAAGGAACGAGGTGCCATTAAATAAATCTGCTTGTTTGACCCCCCACGACAATAACAATTTTTTTTTCAGGTTTCTCCTCTTTTCAACGTTTACCGTTGCATGTTACGTTTAGCCGCAAAGCGCAAGTTTTGAAGGCGAAGTGAGTTTGCCCCAAGGGTGCTGCCAGCGAGGTAACTCTCTCACATGCCCTCCAACTCTGACTCCGACAAGCCCGTGGATGGCCTCCTTGCCGGTGCTCTGGGGACTATTATTGCGGGTGCAGCTGTCAGTGCCGCAATTTCGAGCCCGCTCTTGGGGTTGGCGTCCACTGACATGGCCTGTGCGCTGGCAGGTGCATCCACAGAAAAAAAAGCGAGGGAGCACTCCCAATCGGAAAAAGGGGACAAATTAGGGAGCTACAAAAATGTTTAAGTGGGTGAGCTGGGGTCACTTAAGCGAAGCTTATGAGGGTGCAACGCGCAGGACGGACAGGATATTCTGTAGGAAAAAGTTGCTATTTTATTGCGCTGAAAGCCCCGCAGAGTTGGGTCAAGGGCGCTGCAGTCAATTGCACCAGTACGCCGCTAGCTTTTATAGCCGTGCAGTGAGTGGCTGCAACAATGTTTTTCTCTGGTCTTCAGTGGGCGGCATTGGCGGGCCCCACCCAACCGGCGCGCCGGACGTTGGAATTGGAATTGGTAGGCGCCCGCCGTGCCAGTAGAACGCGACCGAGGGGCACTGCGACTAACATGGGCTACGGCGCGGCGTTGAGCCGAAGACGCGCCGCTACAAGAAAAACATTTTCGTGCCAAGCCCCCAATGACGCTTTCGGAAACTTTTTTTGCTTCTTCTTTTTTTTGCCTTTAGCTATTTACTAAGAATTTCTATTCTGGAAAAATGTTATGGGCGTCTTATTGGGAATTAAATTAATATAAATGTGTGCGGCAATAATTACAGTGGGACGAAAAGTACGTTATGTTTTCTTCCTTTCTATCTTGTTATTGTGCAAAAGTTGAGTAAGAGAAGGCTTTAGTTGCCTCCAAGGGGATGTGTTATACTGGGCGAGGTTTCTTTATGTAAGTGTGTGTGTTTGGGTGTCTGTGGCGGCACGCCTTTTTTCTACGCTCGCTTGCTTCCCGTTGGATGTATCGTTTGTAATCGATGCCTCCTTCTCTGTGTATGTGTGTACGCGTTTGGCCTTTTTTCTATTGTCGTGTTGTTGTTTATAGATTTGTTCTCGCATTTGCGTGGTGAATCGCATCGGCACGGTTCCGCGCATCTCATGACCTCTACTGCCTGCCAGCCCATCCGTGTGCGGACGCTAGAGATCCTGTGGCACGGCAGCGAGCGTGAAGAGGAGGCGGTGCAGTTGGGCTTGCAGAGTGTCGCCATTGAGGGTATTGTGTCGATCGACTACAACAGTCAGCAGGATCGTATTGTGACTTGTGGTGGTGATGGTTATATACGCCTGTGGCAGCTCCACCCTGCAGCCACCGACAGTTGGCTCGCCAACAGTCAAAGTGACATGACGGCGTGTGTGAGCTTTGTCGCTGGGATGCGGACGTCGTGGATGCCCTTGACGGCGCGTTGGTCTCCACACGGGAGAATGATTGCCTCCGCCCATTGCGACGGGAAAATTTGTCTGTGGTGGCCAGAGAAGCGTGAGGACGGGAAGAAGGAGGAGGAGTGGAAAGACTATCGACATCTCTCTGGCCATGTGATTGACGTGTACGACCTGTGCTTTTCACCCGACTCGAGGTACCTTCTTAGTGCCGGTGGAGACGGCAGTGTTGTCATTCACGACCTTGAGGGCTCCACGGTTCCCGTGGTGCAGCTAACGGAGGTGCACCACAAGTTCTGTCGCGGGGTGGCATGGGACCCGTGGTGTCGATACGTCGCGAGTTTCGGCGGGGGGCCCCCGCTGCTGTTCTTCACCCATACTGCCAAGCCAGCGGGTGCGTCGCGACGCGTGCATTTGACAGGGCAACGCAAGGCAGCAGGGGACTACATTGGGGAGTTGTGCGCCACAATGTTTCGGCGATTCGGGTGGTCCCCGGATGGATCGTTGGTGGCCGTCCCGTACGGGAAAGCGCCGCACCTTCCTCACAGTCACAGTAGTCAGAGCACCAAGGGTCTCAATGGCAACGGCGGCAGTGAACCGCCTCGGGGGGACGATATGATTCACTGCGTCTACGTGTACACACGCAACGCCCTGGACAAGGTGGCGGCTCGGCTGACTATCCGCGGTTACTCAGAGGTGCGTGGAGTGCTGTGGGCGCCGTGCTTCCTGCAGCCACTCGACGAAGACGACGACGCCGACGACAGCGGTGGCGGTGGCTGTGGCAGCAATGGTGTGGGGAAGCACAAGAGAGGCAGGGAGGAAAGCGAAGGAGAACGGGGTGGGGAAGAGAGGCGGCGACGCGTGCTGGCGGATCGTGGCTCTTGGGGACCGGAGGACTACCGTATGGCAATGGCAGTCTGGACGGCGGACGCGGTGGTTGTGTACACAACCGACAGTGCTGTGCGCCACAGTGACTACACAGACCTTCACATGCGCAGCATCTCCGACGTGGCGTGGAGCCCCAACGCCAGCTACTTGCTGACCGCCTCGCTTGATGGCTACATCTCTGTCATAGCCACCGGCGGCTCTCTCGGTGTTGCCCACAAACTCCCGCTCTTCTCCACGAAACCTGTGACGGTGGCTCTGTGCAACATGCTGTCAGAGATCAGCAGCCTCGGGGAACGGCTCGAACTTGGAAGGAGGTCCGCGACGGACAGTGCGTCGGCGGCAAAGATTTCCTCTGATGGTAGTGCCGTGTTGCACGCGCCTGTCAGGAAAAAGAGGAAGTTGGCCCAGGAGCCGCAGCCGCAGCCGCACGAAAAAGAGCCGCCTAGTAAAACAATACCGCTCAGTGAACTTTCAGAATTGATGGAGGACGCCTAAAAACTGCACCACGGTTGGTTGCTTGTTTTTCCGCCGCATACAAGGCGTCACGGCCACCCCTCACTGCGGTTGCGCCTTCTCCCCTTTCCTCTGTATGAATTTACCGTTGGCATGGGGCGTGCAATACAGCGGGCACCGTTGCGTGTGCGTGTGCGTGTGCGTGTGTGTGTGTATGGTAAGGCTAGAAGCAGTAGCACCAAATTTTGCTGCCTTGTATGGTTGCATATTAAACGTGCATGCACGCCTGCTACGCAACCAGCAACATTTCTATTCGTTGACTGTTTTGTTTTGCTGCTAAGACACACAAACACACACATACACACCCTCGTTCGCTCTCCCCCTCCTCTTCCCATTTCCTCTGCTCACTCATTCACGTGTACATGTTTGTGTGCATACATATTTATATATATATATATATATGGGTCTGCACTCACTTACCTCTCCACTGCTTTGGCTGTTTCCCCTCTACCGCGAACTCTCTATAAAACCCGACGTTCGTGGGGTTAGGAGGGAAAGGAACAGAGAGAAGAAAGTGGGGTGTAAAGGCGGGAAGAGGAGCGCATTGTTTCTGGGTTGAGCGGAGAGGCCAGTTTGCAGTCGGTTCACATTATTTGAGGGTTTATGTCCGTGCTTCGAGACGTGTCGGGTGGCGTCCTCAGATCGCAGAATCATGAAAAAAGTGCTGCCGCTGTCGCTACGGACCCCGGAGGTGACGTGCGCGGGAACATCGCGCGGCTAACCGCCCGGGCCCGCCAGCTACTTGCCGACGACACGGACACGCGTGTGGTGCGCAACGGTCTTAGCGCCTATGAGACCTCGCGGAAGGTGGCGGCAGATGTGTCGGCGCGTGCGCGGGCCCCTGGGCAAGCCGGCGCTACGCAGGCATCGGTGGAACTCTTCATGGCCAGCCTTGGGTTTAACCTCCAAGAGCAGCAGCGTCTCCTGCAGCAGCTGCAGGCAAGCCAGGGGCCGCTTACAGCAACAGGTGATGTTGGGGCGGCTGCGAAGACTTCCGGCGCCTTTTTCCACGGGCAGGTCGATGACGAGTTGGGCAGCACGTTGGAAAGCTTTGTGGCGAATCGGCGGCATGAAATCATGCGGCGCAGCATGGATGAAATGCATTGTCGCGTGGAAGATTTGGTGCAGGAGCGCTCTGAGATCATCATCCGTGCCTCATGGGAGAGGTGCTGCAAGGAAGTGGCAGATGTCTTTGAATCCTTCTCCCTAAAGGCGGGTGGTGGCGGTGGCGAGGTCGCTCGAGGCAAAATGTCTACCACGGGTGTGAACCCCGCTGGTACCGTGCGGCCACGTGCGGGAGTGATGGCGCTCCTTAACGGACGAGATGCCGCATCCATGCGCATTCTTAACAAGATTGCTGGCTTTGCCAGGATCGTTGATACGCAGCCGCCACTGCAGTGGGTACGGTGTTTTGCCGCCCATGTTGCGGATGACGCCCCGTTTGTCACGGACGAAGTCGCCCTTCTTTGGACAACGGTGGAGCAGATTCTGCAGCCAATTCTACAGCTTGGCTCTGCTAGTACGAACATGACCTTTGTTGCCTCCAGCCGGCACATGATGGAACGCAAAGCGCTCGTTAGTGTGCTGTCACGCGTACTTAAGGTGGAGCCTGAGAGGTTTGGTGAACTGGAGAATATGCATGCCACACGCTTTATCAGTATTATGGGGCGCTACACGTCATCAGCGAATCCGTGGGCACACATCTACACCGCCATGCGCTGTGGTCGTTATGACGCTGCTGCCATTGTTGCCAACAACGCGGGATTCCGCTTGGTGGAAGCAAAACTAGAAGCTTACGCCAATGCGCACACGACACAGCGCAGCACTTTGCCGCCGGCCGTTGAATTACGGTCATTGTACGAAGAGGAGGCGACGCGGGCGGATCCTTACCGACAAATTGTCCTGCTTCTCTTGCTAGTTGGTAATACAGGAGAGAGTAGCGACGTGGTGCTCTCGGCGGTGGCGTCACTGTCGTCAAAGGTGGCGCGATCTCTTGAGGACGCGCTGTGGATTCGCCTCTTCTGTGTGCGCTCGGTTGAGTTGCAAGACGGCAATAAGCTCCAGTCCCTCGCTGAGATGCAGCGTCTGCTTCTTGATGACATGCAGGAGCTCGTGGAACTGGTTCGCGGCGATGTGGTGCGTTTGGCGTCGCTGTTGATTCATGCACTACTTCCCTCCTCTGGACTGCGGCTTCTCATCGAAGGCGACAACACATACGTAGATGGCGTTCATCTTGCCATGTGCTTTCACAACTCGAATCTCTTGCCGTGTGGTGATGTGGAGGTGCCAGTCGACCTCAGTCGGCTCATTCCACAGTACTGTTCCCTCGTCCTGCTTGACGCGGATAAGCGTCATGCCTGCGCCGCGTATGCAGGGGCAGCTGTGTTCCGCTACTTTCTCCGGACAAACCTTGTCGACGCCTTTGTCGAGTACTGCGGAAATGAGCTGGTGTGTGTGAAGTTGTTTGGGCAGCGCGGGGGCAGCCGCGTCAGCAGTGACGGTGTGCTCCTGCAAGAGCCACCGTCGCCGGAGCTTCTTGAGGCAATGGAGCGTGTGGCGGAGGCGGGTGCGGCACGTGGCCAGGCGGAAATTGCGGTCCATGTCTTCTCCGTCTTGGAGCGTGCCGCCGCGCTCGTCAAGGATGACGCACGTGCCGACTATGCCTTGAGTCGGGCCCTGCAGATTATCTGCCCAGCACTGTCGCACGCCTTTCAACAGACGCCATCAGGCGAAAACACAAGTCTGTTTATGCACGCTGCCGCGCTGCAGGAGCGAGTTGCGTGTTCCGAACGCGTTGTCCCGCATGCTTGCGCTGAAGCTTTTCAGATACTTTGCAAGATGGGAGAAGTCTTTCTGGGTGTCGCGCGCGGCGAGTTGGAGGTTGCCCTTCGGTGCTTCTGGAGTCTTCCCTTCATCCCGACCACGGCAGAGGACATTGAGCGCTGCGCTGAGCTCTTGGATACAGCAACTGAGTCCATCGCAACGGCAGTGCCGCCGATTCTGCTGCTCGTTATGCAAAGCATGTTGAAACTTGCGGAGGTGCTCAAGTCAAGAGGACAGACGAGCGAGGCGGCGCAGATGCAGCGACGGGCGCAGACATTGACAATGTGGGTGCGGCGGTGGAAAAGACTCGTGTCTCGGCAGCTCATTGATGAATTGACATCCCTAGAAAGGCTACTTGCGCTCTGAAACTGATGCGAACGACATGTAACGGCACCTTGAAGGGCAGCCGCAAGAGCGGGAGGGAGTTGAATTAGGGGAGGCAGGGGTTTTTATGTGTGCTGGCATTTGCAGTAACACGATTTCAGACGGGAAAATAAGGAAATAAAATGGGAGGCGTTTCCAATGCATCGAACCCTCTTAGCTGCAAAAATACTTGGTGTTGTGCACACCCACATGCGTCTCTGTGCGCGCTTCCTCTTATTCCCAGACTAACTGGGCTTTTAGAGGTGCGCACCGCACCATCGTAATCTATTTCTCTCCTGCCACTCGGGGATGTGGGAGGCTTTTTATTTTACACGCTCCCCTTGCTCTCGCCATCCCCGTTCGCTTGCTCCTCTTTGTGTGTTGAGTCCATCAAGAGCTGCCAATGATACCCTGCTCATTATGTCGTCTTTTTCCTCCTCCTCTTTTTTTTTGCTTCTTCCCCTTTGCCTTTGGCAGCGTCCCCTTTACGCGGTTTGTCCGTTAAGGAGGCCGCAGGGGTGTTCTTCCGGCCCCAATGGAGAAGCAGCTGCACCTCATCGCGTTGGATTTTGTGGCGCTTTACCGTGAGGTGTCAAGGCATTCTCTACTGACGCCAGAGGGTCTCGACATGGACGCGTTCCAGGCTGTGTTTGACCGCATGCACATGGAGTATCTGCACTACGCCGGGTCAAGCCCTACTCAACCGTTCCACGTGGAGGTGGTTGAAAATGTGCTTCAGCTTGCCGCTGCGTATCTTTCGCTACCTACGGATGTGAGCCCCAGTAGTCGTGCCTTTGGTCTGTACCTCGTCTTCTTTCTCTACGCGTCGCAGCCGTGCATCGAGACGACACCTGTGCGGGTACATGTGCCGCTTGCAACTATGCAAAGCTACCTGGATGATATTACCGATGGTGTGGAGGGTGCGGAATCGCAGACTGCCGCCGCGGCGCAACTAGGTCGCCGCGTGACAGATGGAGAGAGACGAATACTTCTCGCACTCCACAAAGCAAGGGCGTGGCACATCATGCCATTTGTTAACTTCTCTGTGCACCTGCAGACATTACTGAAGGTGCACGACGCGGAAGGCGTCCCGCTGGGGAGGAGTGTTGCCCAAACGCAGCAGCAACAGCAGCAGGTGGTGGACGCAGTTGGGGCGGATACCGCCTTATCAAAGGAATTAGAGGCGTATGAGGCGATGAAACGCCGCTTGGGCCTGAACGATGCCCTGGGGCGAAACTGATGGAAAGAGCGAGAGAAATTGCTGCTTTCTGCGGATGCTGTCTCTTTTCTCTATTTTTATTCTTGTTTTTATTTTGCCTTCTTGGCAATAGTTGCGGCCTGTGCACGTTGTTGCTTTTTTCTCTATCTGCGTCTGTGTGCCCTGCGTTTCCTTCATCTCATGGATTTTTGCTCTGTGGCGCTCCGCTCAACCGGAGCGCACCCCGCAGTTATAGCGCGGCGAAGCGAACGGGTTTAAACCCCAACCAATAAAAAAAAGGGAGAGAGAGAGAGAGAAGTAGTGAGGAGGTGGAGGGAGGCGAGGGAAGGGAAGGGAAAAAATGAATTCGCTTCTCTGCCGCCTGTGCATGTCTTGCTTCTTGCGGAATGCGCTGATTAGCATTCACCCGTCGCCCCGTCATTGTGCCACTGCATTGACGGGTGCTGCAGGTCACGGGTCGCTGGGGCTTGTCGATGCGGTGTGCCCCCCGGCCGGCTCCTCCGCCCATGGCAGGGAGGAGATGTTGAGGGAGGGGGAGAAGAGGGGGAGTGCGCGGCGGAATGAGGAGAGTGTCAGTGGTTCACCCTACATGGTGCAGATCGCTGATAGGTACGGCATGCCTGCAGAGCTCCCACCTGGTGCGTCGCAGTCTTTTGAGGAATTGGAGGCACTGTGCCCCAGTGGCAAACTTCGTGAGCAACTGCAGCGATTACGGGTCTCACGGCGCTGGGAAGCATTGACGGAGGTGCAGCGGGTCACCATCCCCTTGATCTTGGATCACCGCGACCTCCTCTGCATTGCACCAACTGCCACGGGCAAAACATTTTGTTATGTGTTTCCCTCCATGCTACGTTTGTTGCTACATGCAGGCGAGCACGAGAACGCCGCCGACGACGGTGGCAGCGATGGGTTAGATCGGTCGAATGTTGAGAAGTTGCTAAAAGAAAAGATAGCGCGGGGGGAGGTTTGCCGTTACTGTGAGCTCGGCATGGCTGATGTGAAGTTGTGTCCCGTGACGGGCACCCCGCACCCTCCGATGCACGAGCTGCTGGACAAGCAGCTGCGCCCAGCGATGCGGCTCAGTGAGTTGACCTCCGTGGCGGAGCCCCGCTTGCTTGTTCTCGTCCCCACGTCTCAGTTAGTGGCGCAGGTGTATCAACTGTATACTCAGCTGCATGCTGATTTTCGGGTAAAGTTTCTCGTGCGCGCCTCCAGCGCAGAAGAGCAAAAACGTCACTTAAAGGCGTTGGAGAGCTGTGATGTGCTCATCACGACGCCAGAGACCATGCTACCCGCCCTCTACAAGCGCAAGCTGACCCTGAAGCGCGTTAGGATGCTTGTGATGGACGAGGTCGACGAGTTGGTCTCCGTGAACCACTTTGAGAAATTGAAGATTATCCTTGGCGCCCTCCCCAAGGCACATGAGCGGCCCCAGCGACTTTTATTCGGGGCCTCGCTGCCTCCGGTGGCGTATCAAATGATCAGGGAGCAGATGCTGTTGCCATCCCACCGCTTCGTCCTCGCAGACCTCAAAACTGACAAGCTTGGACACGCGCTTGTGGGTGGCAGTACCACTGTCAGTGCCGCCATTACCCATGTCATCTTCATGGTGTCGCAGGTGGAAAAGATCAACAAACTGGCCTGGCTGTACAGCACAGGCAAGCTCAGCGCTGACCAGCGCACCCTTATCTTCTGTAACTCGCGCCACAATGTGGCATACGTCTGTGAGCGGCTTCAGAAACTTGTGCCAGGTCTACACGTGACGACCCTCACCTCCCGCTCCTCAGCAACGGGGAAGGTGGGAACGCTAAAACTCTTTAGAAGCGGTGTCTCCACATGCTTGGTGTGCACTGACATCCTCAGTCGTGGAATTGACTTTGAAAAGGTCGTGTACGTCGTTCACTACGATACTCCGCTGGAATTTGATACATGGATTCACCGAAGCGGGCGCTGTGGCCGACACGGGGTGTCTGGCTACTGTTACACCTTCTTCCAGCCGGAGAGCGTCAAACTGGCAAAACCGTTGGTGGCACACCTGCGGCAAACGCGGCAGATGATTCCACCAAAGCTGCAGGAATACGCGAACCAGTCGCTCGTTGACACGTTTAAGAGCTCTTTGTTTTACCACCCAACACGCTCGTACCGTTCAAGTGACCCACAGCGGCAGCATCCTGTAATGGGGCGCGGGGCGCCACGCTTCCCTGACTACAAACAGGACCGATTAAATCAAAACTTTCGCCCTCTTTAGGCTGGTGGAAAGGAAGATGTTTGAGGTACCATTTCCTGCCCCTGCGTGCCCGCATATATCTTTTTATTTCTGGTTTTTGTACACCGTCACTCAGCTGGTTCCGTTGGCCGCTGCCGTGCAGATACAACCCGAAGATCCCTTCTTAGACAGGGGGAGAGAAGTAAATAAGTATTCTTAATTCCGCTATCGTTTACTGATATTTCTGTTTTGTTGTTGTCGGCTTTCTCCGCATTTGCGTCATGAGCGAAGTCACGGAGATGCACTGAATTTGTTACTGCAGACTTTTCCTTTTTCCCATCCTGTTCTGAGATGGGATAGGGGGGGGGAGTATAAGAGGGAAAGAATGGATGAGGGGGTGAGGTCTGGATTTTGCCATACTTTGCATCTCGCCGTTGGGCTCTGTGACACCGGCGTTGCTGCGGATGTCCTCGCGTCATTAGGAGGTTCATGCATTGGTGGGGTCTCTTGCTTATTCCCGTTGAGGACCCCTGTGCTGCACGGTGTTTAACACATGCGTATCTCTCTCTCTCTCTCTCTCTGTGTGTGTGTGTGTGCGCTTCCACTTAAAACAAGCAATAGCGGTGACGTGCGTGCAACAGGGCAGATTGCAACGCGTAAGTTTTATCAACGTGCCACGGCGTCAATGTCTACCGTCTGCGTTTGCCGTGCGCTCCGCACAATGGAGGTGAGGGAGGTGCTGTGAACCCTTTGCAAATTTTTTCTCGTTCTTTTTATTTCTGTGTCCATGCTTGCCATGTGGAGGCTCGTTCGTTGCCTGGCCTGAGCTTTTTTATGTATTTGGTTTTGCTGCTGGTGTTGTTGTTTTATTATAATACCTTTGATGCCCATTCCTTTCCTTGCTCTGGCAACTCTTCTGCACGTGGCGCATGTCCGTTTTCCTTTGTAAGGCACCATTATTGTTTTTGCTTCACCGCGTCAGTGGCGGCGCCTGCTATTCCGGTACACACAAATAAACTTGCCTCAATAATTAACCCAGAGTGTGGTGCGAGTACAAGATGCCGGAATCCACGGCACACCGTACGACCCATGCGGGTGTAGCGGATGTGATGCGCATAGATGGGGTTTACTACGACACCTTGAAGCTTGCCGCTATCCATCCCGGAGGGCCTATGATGATTAAAATGGCCAATGGCACCGATGCCACACGAATATTCGTAAGCTACCATCGCCGGCGGTTCCCCCATGCAAAGTACAAGCACTTGCAGGTAGCGCCAGCAGATGTGCAGAGTGGCCTGATTGCAGACGAAGTGCCACCCAACTTCGACTTGTATTTGGAGCTCTGTGAAAAGGTGCGACCGATTATAAGTCCTACGAACGGATTCGCCCCCTGGTATTACTTCATTAAAGCCGCAGTGTGGTCTCTTATTGTGCTTGCCCTGGACCTGTACGCCGTCTTCACGTGGCGGCCTTTATACCTCACAGTTCTTCAATCACTCGCCATGGCGATGTTGGGGTTGAATGTGCAACATGACGCTAACCACGGGGCCCTGAGTGTGAACCCTGTCATTAATAGAGTTTTTGGTCTAACGCAGGATCTGCTGGGAGGCAGTTCTATAAGCTGGATTATTCATCATGACTTTATTCATCATATTTACACCAATGAACCACATCGTGACCTTGACTTGGATATTCCGCTGTTGAGGTTGCATCGGTTTGTTCCCAAGCGTTACTACTATGCCCTTCAGCAAGTTTACTTTCTGGTCCTAGAAGCCGTCTTTGGCCCCATTCATGTGCTTTCAAATGCGTTGTTTTTGTGGTCTGGGCCAGAAAAGAGACTGCGATTTCTCCGCGGTGAATGGAAGCTCAGCTGCCTCATGACGTTAATACCGCCGTTGCGCCTGGCGTTTAGCTTTTTGCATGCTTCTACGGTATGGGACGCTTTCATGGGGTTTTTTGTTCAGTACGCCGTGGGTGGGATGTATCTTGCCTTCTTTTTCCTAATTTCCCACAACTTCACCGGGGTAAGGAAGGAAGGAAGCAGCGATGGGGCGTGCTTTCTCAGAGCTCAGGTGGAAACAAGCAGTAGCGTGGGTGGGTGGTGGCTGGGACAAATAAATGGTGGTTTAAATTACCAGATAGAGCACCACCTTTTTCCACGTGTGCACCATGGGTATTACTACTACATCGCTCCCACTGTAAGAAACTTCTGTGCAGAGCGTGGGATTTCCTATGTCCAGTTTAATACGCTGTGGGAAAACGTACTCAGTACCGTGAACCACCTGAGCGCATATGGGCACGGAGCGGAGCGGGAGATTGCGGTGGGAAAGGAATGACGCATAAAAAAAAACAACAACAACAACAAAAAACGACTAACTAATTGATAGGAAGACATACGCGTGCACGCATAAATGCGCAATTTTCTGGAGGTGGAAGAGACAAAGGGACAGTATAGATTTTAGTAGAGGCATGGTGGATTTATTTTCCCCTTTCACTTATTTTTCATTTACGAATGGGGTGCTGGTCATCTCACTTGCATTTCAACAACAGTGTCTAGTGTCCCTTTTTCTTGATGTCATCCATGCATTATGAGTGCGTTTTTTTTCGTGTTGTCCGGCGGGATAGACAGAGAGAGATTGGCGGCGGGGGAGGGAGATACATATTTGTATTTTCAGTTGCCTGTGTGTGTGTGTGCCCTGCTCCTCATATTTCAGTTTTCCAATTTTCGGGCTTTTAAACCGTACCCGCAACGGTGATCTTGCGCAAATAAGAGGTTGTGTGGGTTCCATTCTTAGCCCCTCAGTCCCCTTTCTGTGCCTCAAAAATATAACACAATGCAAGGCATGATTCCATCTTACTATTGCTCTTGTTTCTGCTGCTGCCTTGCGGAGGTTGCAAGTAAGCAAGAAGATTGAAAGAAGGAAGTTGCTGCCTGTGCAATGCCAACTGTACGTGTCAAGGGTTGTCGCAACGTGCACTACACAGATGAGGCCATAACAGCCAAATACGTCTACCACACGACACGTGTCACCAAGGAAAAAGACGGGGACGTGACTGTGGAGCCGGTGGACGTCACGTTGCGCTTTCGCACACTTCGCAAACGAAAGACTTGTGGTCTCATGATGGTGGGGTGGGGCGGGAACAATGGAACGACAGTGACGGCCGGAATTCTGGCCCACAAGCATGGCCTGACGTGGCGCACAAAGCGAGGGGAATTGCATCCAAACTATTTTGGCTCCATCACACAGTCTGGTACAATGAATTTGGGTCTGACGCGTGAAATGAAGGAGGTATTTGTGCCGCTGAAGGACGTTGTGCCCATGATAGACCCGACCGACCTCGTCATTGGTGGGTGGGATTGCAGTGGTTTGAACCTCGCTGATGCTATGCGCCGCGCCCAGGTCTTGGATGTTGCTCTTCAGGACAAATTGCAAGAGTACATGAAGGACATGCGGCCACTTCCTGCCCTTTTCGACCTCGATTTCGTCGCAGCAAACCAAGAGGGACGTGCCGATAACGTTATTTCAGTGAAAAACAAGTGGGAGGCGATGGAGCAGTTGCGGTGCGACATCCGCAGCTTCAGGCAGGTCCATGGGTTGGATAAAGTAATTGTGCTCTGGACAGCCAACACCGAGCGCTTCTCGGAACATGTTGCGGGTATACATGACACCGCTGACAACCTTCTGGCTGCGGTGAAGCGCAACGAAAAGGAAATTGCGCCATCTGCACTCTACGCAATGGCGGCCATCTTGGAGCGGTGTAGCTACATTAACGGTGCACCGCAGAATACGCTCTGCCCGGGTCTTATTGAACTTGCCCGTCGACAAGGTGTGTTTGTCGGTGGAGATGACTTCAAGAGTGGGCAAACGAAAATCAAAAGTGCTTTGGTGGAATTTTTTGTTGCGGCTGGCATCAAACCCGAGTGCATTGCAAGCTACAATCATCTTGGAAACAACGACGGACATAATTTGGCTGCACCGAAGCAATTCCGCTCGAAAGAAATTACAAAGAGCAGTGTGGTTGATGACATGGTGGCGTCCAACGAGGTGCTGTATCCGGCTGGCAGCAAGGGACCCGATCACTGTATCGTCATTAAATACATGCCATACGTGGGCGATAGCAAGCGTGCCATGGATGAATACAGTTTTTCCATCTTCATGGGGGGAGCACAGACAGTGGTGTTGCACAACACCTGCCAAGACTCTCTCTTAGCGGCGCCGCTTATTATTGATTTAGTTGTTTTGACCGAGCTAATGGAACGCGTTTTTGTCAAGGCAGAGAGTGAGGAGGCTAATGAGAACGATGAGGATCTTAACTCCTATGCCCACGTGGATACAGTGTTGTCAATTTTATCATATCTCCTAAAGGCGCCCTGCGTGCCTGAGGGCGCCCCCGTGGTGAATGCATTGAATCGACAGAAGCAAGCCATTGACAATGTGTTGCGCGCCCTTGTGGGGATTCCGCCTGAGAATAACATGCTGCTTGAGTGCAGTCTCCCCTTCTTGCGTGGAGTGACCCCAGCATAGGAAGAATGAGGAGGAGCAAGTTTGAGTGGAGCTGGGTTTTGTGCCCCCTTACGCGTGACAGTTTCCTTTTGTCGTTGTTGGAATTGTGAAGAAAATAAGGCGAGAGGGAGAGGTAATTGTCCACACTTGATTGGGATCTTCCTGTTGTCTCTCAGGGTGCTCCTCCGCTGGAACGCGCCGCTCCGGCGCAGGGATGTCTGGGACCGAGTGGGACAGAGAAGGTATTTCGGTCTTTTCCTCCCAAATGGGCAAAAAAACGCCTCATCTGACATTCTTTTTTCCTTTCCTTTTTTTGAATTTTCTTAACAGCAGGGGCTCCGTCTTGCTTTTTTGTTATTGCTGTACTTGACGAGTGCGGACCCTCATCGTGGGAACACCCCTTCTGAGGCAGCCCGGTTGTTGTTTTTTGTCGTGTGTGTGTGTGGGCGTGTCTACCTATATCCTCTACCGATGGCGCTATCTCCTTTGCAATGATTTGTCGG